CTTAAGACGTCGGCAAGTCAATGGTAGTAAGGCTAATTACTTATGTTGTGAAGTGCGTTCACCATGAACATTATTCACATAGGTAAGGCGGTAGTAATTACCTGATCCCTTGGAGAAAAACCAAGAGATGGAGATATAGATGGGTCAATTTTTCGGCAACATGCCTTTATCGAAACAATAGCGGAAGTGAGTTCAAAATTTGAATTAAGTAATTTATATAATTAGTTTGAAAACAACTACTCGTGAGATCGTTGAAACAAATCAGTCGAATATTAGTAGGTACTCAAAAACCGTGATGAACTAACTAACCATCCACGTTCGGATGAACCCTTGAAATGTGCAGACCTCCATCTAGACATGGAGATTCGATGGAACAGTTACGGAAACCTCACGATCATCTCCAGCCGATTGAAGCGATAGAGGTGATCTTTCAACAATGACACCGAAACAACACTAGCCGTGCCGGACATGCCTAACGCGAGTGCTGTGCTAAAACTGCAGTACATGTCAACGCATTACAAGTCTGCCCCCCAGGCAGGCCCGTTTTGATGATCGAAATATCACCGCAGCGAGGAGATGCAATAGCCTGAGTACTATCTTTTATGAAACCGTTCTTTGGGACATCACAACCTCATGCAATCGAGCAGAAGTACACATTTATTCTAGTTATGCCATTACGTCGTCGCCATGTGATGCGATATAAGCTCCTACGTCAAGCAACGCAATCAGCAGCGCTCCCAAACGTACTCTGTGCTGCATCACTGTTGACCGCGTTCGATCTGCCGTCAGCACGTTTGTCAGCACCAATCACGGCCCAGTATTTGCCCTACGTCACGTCACCTGACCACAAGGTCACGTGGCCTGCGACGTCACGCCCGGCTGACGATAGTGCCAGGATTTTTTGTCAGCCTGTCAGCATGGTGAGGAAGCGCTACATGATTAAAAATCACTCTGACAAGAAGCGGGAGTCTGATTTGGTAGCTCTTACGTTGGAGAGTACGGAAGCTGCGGTGAGAACCTATCTAATTTTGGGGGAAATGCGACATGAAATAGATAACGAGGGAATGCAAATGCTAAGAGTAGCCATGGAAAGGTGAGTGACAGAGGTTGGTAGGGTATGTGGATGCATTCCTCAAAAACTTAATAGCGTGAATTGAAAAAAACTGAATAGCGTGAAAAACTCCGAATGTATCATAACACCTAATGTGCCATAAGGTCTAACGTATGGTAATCCCTAATGCTCGTAGGCTCTAGTGTATCACAACTCCTAATATATCATACTACCTAATGTATCATAACACCTAGTGTATCATGACCCCTAATGTTCGTAACCCCTAACTGAGCTGACGGCGCTAGGCTTGTCACGCGCGATTCTGACCCGCACAGCTGTGCGACGGAGCCACTAAGTCTACCGAACCACTCGCCAATGCCCCGAAGTCACCGAAGTCACGTTGGAACAGTGCCCGTATTGTCCGGGGCGGTTGAGAAGGCCGGTAAGTTGAGAGTGAGCTGTACACAAAATGTGGGTGTTTGGTCGCAGGGGTATGCTGTGCTGTTACCAGGTGTTATGAAGCATTAGCGGTTTCGATACATTAAGCGTTACGATACATTAGTGGTTACAAACATAAGGGCTTCCGATAATGATCCAGTTATCATTCCACACTTTTTGTCCCAGGTTGGTAAATTTCAGCCATGTTATACACTAGGGGCGTCACTTTCGAAAATCGGTGCGGGCTCAGCTGAAAAAGTTGAACTGATGTGTTCCCAAGACTCGATTTCACCCGGATTTCGGCCACATGAATTTTCTTCCTCGATGTTAGAATTTAAGGAAAGCTTTTTGCAGACTTAAAATCGTTTCCATTCGGAGGAATAGCTTGCCATTTCGAGTTAACATGAAGCTTGGGGGGGGGGGGGAGGAGGGATTATCATAAAAATTAAGCCCAATGCCATGCAATGGGTCATTGAAACTGGGCCTAGGCCAACAGCACAGACTGCAGGCACCGGCACCTACTATTCAGCCATGCAAGAAATGTGGCAAGCGTGACTCAGGTTCGGACACTGATAAACCATTTCCTTGCCTTCCAGCTCCCTCACTTTCATCCCACCCTCTACTTCTCTTCATGACTTTCATACAAGGTGCGCTGCAAACGGATTTTTCAGCAATCCCTAATAATATTCTATTACTCCAATGCACTCCTCAGAGCCCATCGACTTGGGAAGCACAATAATGAATGTGACAAGAATGAAGAACGAGTTTCCGAACCGTGCCCAGCCTGCCTTGTCTTCCAGTACTGTATGCGCCAGAAACACCTGCATGGTATGGTAGATTTCAGTGGAAGCTTACATGCGGTCGAAAGGGTTGAAAATCGCCAGCCCTCGCCACCGCCGTCAGCTGATATTAGGGGCTACGATACGTTAGGAGCTATCATACACTAGGTGTTATAACACATTAGGAGCTATGATACATTAAGAGTTGCGATACATTAGAGGTTACGAACATTAGGGGTTATGATACGCCAGACTCTGTAAAGCATTAGTGGTTATGATACACTAGGCGATCTGACACACTAGGCGCTGTGATATATTAGGAATTGCAATACATTAGGAGTTGTGAAACATTAGGGGCTATATACATTAGGTGATACATTAGGGGTTATGATATATCAGAGGTTATGAACATTGGGCTTTGCGACACGTTAGGAGTTACGAAAATTAGGGGTTATGGTACATTAGGGCTTACGATACACTAGAAGTTATGACACATTGGCACTTGTGATACATTAGATGTTTCGATCATTAGGTGTTATAGTACATTAGCGGTTACCAACATTAGGTGTTGCGATAATTCCCCCTTCCAAACACCACTACGTGCGTAGTGTGTCATGGTCGGCAGTAAGCCAGGGTTAGTGTGTGGACTGAAGTAAAAGGTAAAAGAAGAAGGGAAAGTTAAGTTAAAAAACTATTCTGCCAGCCCACACATCGACCACTCCGCCACGCACGCACGACGTCACGCATTCCAGCCGACAATCGTGCTGACGACAGATCGAACGAAGCGAGTGTTAACATGGCGGGCGCTGCACCTGTGCAGTGTTTGAAAAGTATTTTTCGGCCAGAGTGGTAGCGAACCTTCGAAAGTACGACCATTGTCAGTACCGTCCGGAGGAAGCTGGGCTGGCTGAGCGTGGATGGGCTCAATCAGCACCGGTTATGTGTATATAAGTATAATCACATGGTCACTGAAGAGCCAGCGCAGCTGGCAGCACTGGTACAAACAACCTGCGCTGCACATGACATTGACATGACGGGCGCTTCGTTTCCTACACGTTCAAACTGAAGCGGATGACGGTCGCTTTTCGTTCAGAGGTACCGCAGCTTAGAACAGGGTCCCCCAGAAGTCAAGCAGGCTCGCGATGCGTGCTCAGTGAAGCGAGCCGGTGTTAAGTTGTCAACTGCAGGATATCTGGGAAAAGGTCAAGGAACATTGTCTTATTCAATGCGCGGAGGATTGCTTATGTTTTGTATCACATGAACTGAAATACTTATGTTTTGCAGATGTTTTTTGGCGTGATGAGAACGTGTGCGTAAACGGATTGCGACTTTCACATATATTGTGGACATTCCTTTCTTGTGAAATACATACACACACTCACACCCATATCAAAAATTATCTGAGCACATAATGGTAAGTTGCACGCAAATTTCACATTTTAGTATGCAAGAGAGAAGTGCAGCCGCACCCCTTTTGCTTCACAAAACTGCTGCGTTTACAATAAGCTGACGCAAACCGTCAGGCTTCCGTATGTGATTTCTGTGGACACGCACATGAACATAAAAATCATGCAGGTAGTTTGGTTATGATGACGACTTGCACGAAAGTGTACAACAAATTTCGGGTTGTTCACAGAGGCATGCGGCCCTTGCACGAAGTTGCACGACACCCGTGCTTCACAGATTCCACGTTTCATTTACCGTGGCTTAGACTAGGCGCTAGCTGAGTGGCCCGCTTTAGAAGAATTAACTGTCTACGTCTACGCAAGCTGACCACTTAAAACACACGCGTCGTCGTGGAATTATTTGGTGAATCAGCTACCTCTTTTCAAATCGGCATCGACTCAGCCCGTCTTTGTGGATTCAGTTCCGAACGGAATCGATTCCGAAATCGAATTAATTCCTCTGAAATCAAGCTCAACTCTGCTCCATTCCTCCATTGGCTTTCTTCAGAAACAACCGGGCGACCGTCAACTAGGAGAAGGGTCTGCCTAGATGACAACCCCGCTAAAGAACGTTAACACGAAATAATCCTGTTAAAATATCCCGGAAAAAGATCCTTTCACGCGTCAATGCCTAAAGACGCGTCAGCTGCAACTGGACGCTTATGGTTTTTTCGCCTCCATGGGGTTGAAACTTCCACAGCCAGCTAAAATCTCAATCATGTCTGCCGACGATTTAGATTCCTCTCTTGACAGATACCTCAATGTTAAGTTTACCAAAAAGACGATAGAGTACACTACTTGTCAGTTTATCGGTACTCTCGAGCCCCAAGTACGGTTAACCTAAGAAACTTCACTAAGTTCAACTACAACAAGAATTAAGTCCGATAAGAGTCTGGAAGACACAAGGAGTTTCGACTCACAGCAAATTGCTTCAGCCGGCGTTCAAAATTCGTGTCTTAGCGTAAGGCGTCCGTGTGAGAGCCTGAGGTTTGTCATGCTTTGAAACACGGTCCCTGAGGTATCGTTTTCATCAGCACGCTTTGATGTATTGCACAGAGCTGATTTTTAATAAGTCAAACATATTTTTTACACTCAGTCATCATATATTGCCTGCTTAGATGCTATCCCGACCCTGTTTCTCTTCCCCGTATCTTGAAAAAACGGCAGCTCTATTGGAGTCCGGGCGAGTCCATTTGGCCGGCGCCGGCTCGTCGTGGGGAGGGCCAATCATTGACGCGGAGAGGCCGGGAGCGGGCGGGTCGTGCGGGAGGAAGTGCGCAGGAGGCTGGTCACCCGTGGTGTAGAGAAGCCATTCGGCGAACCATCGGATCGTGCCAAATTTGTGCTTGCGACGCGTCGGCTTCCGTTTCCTGCAAGAGGTGTCAAGGCAGAGAACACGTTGGGTGTGTAGAAGCATGCGACAGCGCACGAGACGTTTGTAATGAGGTAAGTCCAGCGTATCAATGTTAGTCCACCTGCATATTTTTACAAGTGTTTTCGCAATCATCTGAACTATGTCACGCGCAGGCGCTAGAACAAGCGAATAAGCTAATAATGCATTTGCGGTGCGTATCTGGTTCACGCGCACGTCAACACTCGGTGGTCAGCTGACTCATTTCAGCAGTCCTGGAATAATCTGTCATTGTCATATATCATGTGTGTTATCTTCTGTGAATCAGTTCAGATCCAGGCTACTTCCGCTATTTCATTGCTTTTGCCATCCAGCACCGCGTACACTTGGACGGGCCACATGAAAAAAGCTTAACACCTGCATTCCCCACTTCCAACGAACCATTGCTGATCGGTCCCCGGTGCATGGCACAGCTTGCAGGGCGATTCCGAGCGGTCGAACGTCGCCTCCGACGGGCAGTGCTGCTGGCATAATGCCCCGATCCACACCATGTACCATGCGCCTACGTCAGCCCAACAGCCTCAGCCTCCGGAGGCTACCACGTGTGTCCCTGGCTCAGGCGCTCCATCCACGGCTGCCTTCCTGAAGTGTTCGGGTGAGATGCGTATACAGCGGGGACTCCGAGCCACGGGCTCGCAATGCATCGCGCGGAGCGGCACCCCGCAGGCGCTCCCCAGCCCTCGCGGCGGCCACGCGCTACGAAGTGGCTGCGAAGGCCGGCCGCTGAGCTGCGCCTAGCGTGCGGTAGATGGGAGTGACGGGTAGCACTCTCCGGGCGCGCCTCAGTCGGGCGTAACCCCTGTGCTGACTTCCTCTCGTCATCGACGATTAGCCAGATGCAAGGCCACCAAATCACGCGCGGCCGCCGGCGGATCCGCCTTCCGCGTGGCCTCGTGTCATATGAGCGAACGGCAGGGCGCTCGCGACGCGCCGCGGCCCCTCGCCATTCCCCGCCGCCGCCGCCGCCGCCGCCGCCTGTCTCGGTCCGCGGAGGTCGGCCGTGGGGATCGCTCTCCCAGCTCCGGGAAGGGCGCGTCACTTTCGTCGTCAGTCGATGCCAGGTGAATCACGCGTGGCGCGCCGGGACGGCCGCGGCTGCGCGGCGGCGGACGCGGGCTCGACACGTCATCGCGGCCGAGGCGTCATCGCCACGCCCCCAGCGTGACTGCGCCTCTCCGATGCAGCGTGCGGACCACCTGAGGCCATCAGCCAGCCGTGCAGTGGGCGTTCCAGACGACCTGAGGTCACGCTATCTGGTTACGGGAACGCTCGACCCGCACTCGATGATGATGTGGAAGTGGACGCTACCCGCTCCTCCTCTCAGAACCACCCCCACCGTGTTCCGTTCCCCATGACCTGCCGTCAGCCCCGCGGACATCCCCGATCCCGTGTTCCCTTCCCTTCGGCTCTCGTGACCACCAGCCGTCACCCCCTCCCCACCGCGCGTTCGCCACGCTCGTTCCATCTCTCGGTGGCCTTGCCGCCGACGTTTCCACCGGCCGCAGCGGACGGGAGAAGAAGGGGGGGGGAGGGGGAGGGGAGGGAGGGACTGCAAGTGCAGACGTGGCCCGGGCGTGCGCGCCCACCCTGCAGACGGCGGCGCGCGCGCCGGCCGAGCTCGGACAGACGGACGTGCCCGCTGGCGGTTCGTCGAAGCCGCCCGCGGCCGACCGAGCACTGACTGCCGTGCTGAGAATCGCTGCGACGTGGCCGGGCCGCATGCCTCCATGAACAGCCCGGCCGGCGGCTCAGCCGGCAGGGAGGGAGGGAGGAGGGGAGAGGGGAGGGGAAGGGCGCGGGGCCGCACCGGCCGGTTTCGAATTGCTTCGTCAGCCGACCACAGAGCGAGCCGGTCGGTCGGCCTTGCCGGCCGCGGCGCTCCGGGCAGCGACCGCCGCCTGCAAACACTCGGACCCCGGCCGCTGCCGGACTGCGGCCACCTTCCTCGGCTTTCTGGCCTGTGCGCTGGCGCGGTGTATCCCTTCTCCCGTCGCCCGTGACCTTGTGACGTCGGGCGGGGCCGGGCGACCCCTGTCGCCCATGCTTGTCCGGCTCGGGAGGGCCGTATCGGCCCCTGTCCGGCCCCGTCGGTCCGTGCCCGGCCCCTGCTCGGGCGCCGAGTCGGCCGTGGCGGCGGCCGCCGCTAAACGGCCCTTCCCCGGCGTCCCAGCGTCCCCGTCGTCCCGGTTACAGGGTCGGGAGGGTCGCCCTGCCGCTCGCCGCAGCCGCATTCTCGACCCTAGCGACCGGAATGTCAATTTCGGGAGGGGGTTGTGTTTGATTTGGTTGATAAGCTGTTTTTGGTGGGCAACGGGTTGTGGACCGAGATGGATCGCACGTCGCGGGTCCGGCACAAGGCAGCCTGAAGGTCGCAAAGGCGTCTGCGGTCACCCGATGACGTCACGGGCGTCACCTAGTAACATCACTAGTCTGCTGCTGCCTGCATCGGCGCCCGTCGGCCATCTGAGCCGGTGGGCGCGCCGCCTTTCCCCGCATGCCGGCGGTGCACACGTGGAAAACGCAAAGGACGGCTGACGGAAGCGATTGGCCCAGCCCGGTTCGGACCAGAATCAGCAGCGGGCGCGCTGCGACGAGAAGTCTGCCGGACGTGACAGACGACCGCTCGTCATGCACGCTCGAGTCTGTCACGCGACGGCGTGATTTATCCGCCGAAGCCGCCTCCTCTCCGGGACGCACTGGGGCGTGACGGCGCCCTGCACGTGCAGGAATGCCTGAGCGATGGGCGCGTGCTCACGCAGACACCGGTAGTCACTCTCGCGCCGGGGCTGGGTCGAGCAGTCGCTGGCGCGCCGTCGACAGCTCTCCGGCGGCTGGCAGCGTGAGCGCCGCCGCCTCCGGCTCCGGCTCGGGCACCGGCTCCGGCACCGGCTCTGGCGCCGGCTGGCGGCGCCGGTGACGCAGCTCTGTGTCCGCAGTGGGCGGCTATCGTCCCATCAGCTGATCGGCCGGCTCTTGCGTAACGCCAGTTAGCTGACGCGAAGTGCCGGGAGTTTACCAACGATTACCATGGCTCGTCCCCATCGCGCTAATTTCTTTTTCGCACAGCCCTTTTCGCCTTTGATATCGTTTGTAGTTGTTACTGGAGGGTATCGCAGCTGATGCGAAGATAGCGACAACATAATTCATAGTGCTGATGCAAAATAAGTAGCGTTTATGGCTCTGCGTGATAAGTCGCGGCTTTCCTTCCGGCTTCCGGTCAGAGTGAATTGGCGGGCTACAGGGTGCTGATGTACCACATCATCTCCGAGCACGGTGACGCAGCTGGCCCCGCGTGCCGCGCTGGCTCCCTGTCTCGCCTGCCCAACCTCTCAGCGCTCCATTAATGGGACGCCGTCTCTGCCGCTATGGCTCCCGCTCCCGCACTCCCTCCTCACACCCATACCCACGCCCACCCAGCCAGCGCGGTGCCCGCCCAGCCAGCCACCCACACCCGCCCAGCCATGCCGGCAGTGACGTCACCGTCTCAGGAACTGCGGCAGATCGCCTTATCGGGGCCCGATAGTCGGTCGCCCCGCACCGGTGCGTCGCGATGGCTCGGGGCTGTCTCTGCACCGGTGCTTCGGCGCTATCTCCGCACCGGTGCGTCGCGATGGCTCGGGCTATCTCTGCACCGGTGCGTCGCGATGGCTCGGCGCTATCTCTGCACCGGTGCTTCGGCGCTATCTCCGCACCGGTGCGTCGCGATGGCTCGGCGCTATCTCCTCGCCGGTGCGTCGCGATGGCTCGGCGCTATCTCCTCGCCGGTGCGTCGCGATGGCTCGGCGCTATCTCTGCACCGGTGCGTCGCGATGGCTCGGGGCTATCTCTGCACCGGTGCTTCGGCGCTATCTCCGCACCGGTGCGCCGCGATGGCTCGGCGCTATCTCCTCGCCGGTGCGTCGCGATGGCTCGGCGCTATCTCTGCACCGGTGCGTCGCGATGGCTCGGGGCTATCTCTGCACCGGTGCTTCGGCGCCATCTCCGCACCGGTGCGTCGCGATGGCTCGGCGCTATCTCCTCGCCGGTGCGTCGCGATGGCTCGGCGCTATCTCCTCGCCGGTGCGTCGCGATGGCTCGGCGCTATCTCCGCACCGGTGCGTCGCGATGGCTCGGCGCTATCTCTGCACCGGTGCGTCGGCGCCATCTCCTCACCGGTGCGTCACGATGGCTCGGCGCCGCCCTCGCCCGTCGGAATCGCCACTCGGCCGCCAAATAAAGGCCGGATGCAGCCGGTGCGGAATGCCACGTGAGCCGGGTGGCGCGCCTCCGTCCGATCCACGGCCGGCATGCACGCGGTGACTGCCGCGCCGGCGCTGCATTGACGCCGATGGAAATGGCCACTTGTGCCGAGTGGCTCTATTCCGAGGAGAGCTCGCCCGCTGCAGCGGGTCGTGAAGGACGGCTCGGGTCACCGCTCCACACTCCGGCCCGGTCCCAGTCGGCACGCGAGTCGCCGATCTGCATGCGGCGTGAGGCGTGAGGAATACGGCGTTAGGCATGCGGCGTGAGGCGTGAGGCATGCGGCGTGCAGCGTGCGACGTGAAGTGTGCGGCGTGAGGCGTGCCCGACGGCCGGGCTGACGCGCCGCGGCCGGACGCGCCGGCCCGCCGCCGGACCTCACCTACTTCAAGCCGACCCCGAACGTGACCGCGCGCTCGTCACGTGACCCAGATGGCGCGGCTGCCGGGCGCCTGCGTGCCGCTTTCTGCCGGCTGCCGGCGCAGCGCCGCGTCCGCCTGTTGCAGACGCCGGCACGTGGCTGGCGTCTGCGGATGGCTGCGGACGTCTGCGACCGTCCGGGCGGTGCCGGCGTCCGCCCGCTCACAGCGGACAGTGCAGCACGTATGGCGCGTCGGTCAGCCGGCCAGCCGCCGGCTGCGGCGACGCGGGCTCGACGGGAGACGCGTCCGTCCCGCTCGGCTGCCGACACCGGTGGGCGCGCCTGGCTCTGGCGCGGCGACTGGCGCTGCAGCCGAGCGGCCCAGCCCGGCGCGGTCCGGTCAGGTCCGTCCCGGTCCACCTTCACTCAGGAGTACGGCGGGCTGATTCCGCGCCCTGGGCTCTGAGGGAGAGCTCGCTCTCCGCTCAGCTCTGCTCTCCCTCCCTTTTTTCCTGCCTTAGCTTCTTCCAGTCCTTCATCTGTCTCCTTTGCTCGTTCCCCTTCCCTCTCCTCCCCTTCCCTCGCTTCCTCCTTCGCTCTATCCCTCCTTCCTTCGAGATCATGCCACTTCGTTCTATTGCCCCCGTATTCCCTCTTTTGTTTCGGTTCTCCCTGTCTTCCATGCCTTATATTTGATCTCTCTGCGGCCCCTTCATTGCCCTCTCTCCATTCAGCTGGCACGTCCCATCAGTTCAATCCTCTCCACCAGCATCATTTCGTCTTGCCGTCGAGCGGAGCTCCTGCTTCTGTATCGCAGCCCCGACGCCATACTTTCCGTCCCGCTTCAGAGCTTTTGCACAGATCACATGGCCGTGACCTCGCCCCTGACACAACAAGGTCATCGGACCGTTCACCAGTCCGGGGGGCGGCGTGCCGGCACGCGCCGACCCTCTTTCGGCCGGGCGCCGCCGCCGCTCAGCCGATGCCAGCTGTCACCGGCCGGCGGCCGCCACAGTGCCATGTGACAGCGGCGGCCGCTCGGCCGGGTCGGCCGACCTCCGGCCGTCAACTTTGCGCGCGGCAGCTGCAGCCGGCGGAGTTCGGTGGACACCACTTCCGCGTGGCCGCGGCCAGCCCGCTCGGCGAGCGACGGCTCGACGGCGGCCCGCCTCGGCTCGCGAGCTGGCGACGCCTCGCCGACGCCACGAGCGCGGGAAGCGCACGCCGCCGAACTTCCGCCCGGCCGCCGCCACCGAGCCGTGTCCCCGGCGGCGTCATCGGGCGCCGACGAAACCCACCGTCATCGGGGGAACGGATGGGCCCGTCAAGCACTGCATGACGCTCATCGGTCTGAGACGAGGCGCGGCGAGGCGGGACATTCTGCGGCCGCCGCTGAGTCAGATCCCCGAGCCGGATTAACCGGAGCTGCTTCGCCTCCGGTCGCAGACGTCAGATCCCCGTCTCCCCTGCGGACTTATCATGCACATTCCCGCCCGCTTATCCCATGCGTTCCTGCAAAGCTCCGCGCAGGCGGTGGAGCGCCGGCCGCCGGTCGCCGACTGGAAGTCTTCTCGCGCTGTGTCTCCGCGGTATCTCGCGAACCGCAGATCCGGATTCCACGCGGATCTTCACGGCCGGCCGGCACCGCGGCGAGCTCAAGGACCGGTCTCTGAGAAGCGGGGACGCCGTCTCGCTCCGTGCCCGGCCCGCCGCGACCGTAGCGTGGCGTGGCGTGCCGCCGTGCTCTGCCGCGCGGGTGGGACGCGCCGTGTGCTGCTGCGGCCGGCGTGCGGGGACTGGGGAGCTCACAGCCGGCCGCGAGCCTGCCGCGATCGTGACGTGTCACTGGCTGACATGATCCGAGTGGCGTTCTCACTTGCCGGTGATGACTGCAGGCCACACGGCCGACCGGGGCAGCGGAGCTATGGTTGGGGGGGGGGGGGGGGAGGGCGGGCGGGCGGGCGGGCGGGCGGGCGGCCCGCAGCCCAGAGGAAATTGTAAGTTCCAACTTGCGACCGGCGTCCAAGTTTGTCCGTTTGACCCGCGCACCGCGCTCAGTTCGACCGCGCGTGATCCCTGGAGGCCCAGCCAGCCAGCCGCCGGTCTCACCCGGCCGCCGTCTCCCGCCCCCGAACAATGACCTGGGCGGCGCGTGAAGCCGTGTCACGCCGCGCGGCCCGCCGCCGGTTTTTGTGACGCGTCGTTGCCGAGCCGCTATGACCGTTCCGTGCAGCTAATTGCGGCGACGTTCCGTGTGCTGTGCCGCAGCCGCGCCGAGCCAGGCTCGCCACCGCTGTCGTCTTCACGCCTCGTGACGCCGGCACGCGACCGCGTGGCCACGTGACGCGCGTCGATTGTGACGGCCGCGAGTGGCGGCGACGAAAGCGCCAATAGGCGGGGTGTCAGCCCCGACCGGCGGCATCGGCCGAGCGCAGTCGACAGTCGGAGGCGACTTCGTCTGGCGCGCTTGGGATGCCGGCCGTGACAGCAGATGCGCTCCACGTCATGACAAATGCATCGGTCTAGCTCTCCGGAGACGGACCGTGTGCGGTTACCCGGCCAATACGACTCCGGCCAGGATTGATTCACTAAGTGAGTCAATGCGGCGTGCTCGTGCCTGACTCGCTGGCTCCGGGTTGGGGTCAAGCCGCAGTCACGCGACCCGGACCCACGTGTGGCGCGACCCGCCGCCTCTCGTGAGCTGCCACTGGACTATGCACGCGGCCCAGGCCGCTCACGCTCGTGGCGCGTCTCCGGCCGCGGTCGCGCCGGTGACGTCACGCCGTGTCGTGACGTCACGATCGTGCCCCGCCGGCCGCCTGGGGCGGCGGCCCTCTCGCTGGCGCCCCGGGGAGGGCCAGACACGGGGCGTGTCTCGCCGCCCGGTTTGTTGTCAGCGCCTCACCGGGGGTCGTCTGGGTTCGCTGCCAGAGCGGGATTGGGTGCTCTCCTCCCCCGCGATCCGGGCTGCCCTGCCGCCCCTTCGACGGCTCGTTCGCTGCGCTGCTGTCGCCGCCGCTGGTGTCGGGGGGAGCGCTGGCTGGGCTCGAGCTCAGCGTTCGGTGAGCGGGGCATACGAAGCCGAGCTCGCCTGACCGGCCGGCGGCAGTTCAGCCGTCAGCTCGGGTCGGTCCCGGCTGGCCTTGTTTACTCGAGCCGTGACGATTTATCGGCTCGCTCCGACCCGATGAGCCGGCGACGAGTGACTAATGCCACCCATGCCCGGCTTGTGCATCGCAAACACGCTCGGCAGACGTCGGTCTGGTGCTCGAATTCGGGTCGGGCTTGATTTCCGATTCAAGAGTTAACTTGTTTGCGTTTGGTGCGCTGCGTGTAGATCCACAGAGATGCCTGGGTTCGTTCGTAAACTGACCTGAATTAGTTAGTGATAGCCTGTTGCTTTCTTTGTACAGGACGCATCTGATATTGAGATTTACAAATCGCCGTAAATAGACACTGTCGGTAAAAGGATTGCGGTGTCCAGCCATGTAACTGGATAGTTTGTTTATGCCACAAGTCGCGGGCTTCCACTTCGAACGCGGCCTTTTGGTCCTACTCCGATCCACATCATTCCGCGAACTCTCGCAAGATATGCCTGTGAATCACCCAGGATTTGTATATGGAGTTCTCGACCGCTGCTTCTCTTGAGCAACATCATTTGCATCAGCATTTAGTGTTTCACAAAACTTCTGTACGTCCTTTGTTTTTACCAACCTGCGTCGAAGAAGATATGGCTTTTTGTTCCCCTCACCACTCAACAGAAGAAAGCTGGCGAACGTCATCTGTGCGTAAAATATAGAGCAGTGCAGCGTTAACTGGTGCACACCAGTTGCTTGGGACAATACACAACGGCCATGGCCTGGCACGGTCTGCCTTTGCTCGGCAAAGACGTAATTCACGTCAGACTCCCATCTGTTTGCTTCAAGCACACCTGCGTTTATGAACAGCGACTGAGAACATCACGACATGACTACACTGGCGCGCTCGGCCGAGATCAAGCCGCCCTGCGAGTGGTGCCCGGTACTCCTCCTCGTCCCTTGTCTGCGGACCCTCGCCCGCCCTGCGAATGGTGCCCGGTACTCCTCGTCCCTTGTCTGCGGACCCTCGCCCGCCCTGCGAATGGTGCCCGGTACTCCTCCCCGTCCCTTATATGCGAACCCTCGCCCACGCTGACCTGACCCCATACCGTGTCTGTCTCATCTCCGAGGCTGGCTTAGACCACGACTTCTCCGTGTAATTCCGTGACTTCCCCCTCCGCCGTGTATTTGACCTGAGCTCTAACCCGACCATGTCCGTTTCAGACCGCGAGCAGCTCTAATGCGCACGTGGTCCGGGCGGGCCGGGCCGCCCTGGCCCCTGCTGGTGACCCTGCTGACCGCGCTGCTGACGCTGCTGCCGTCCGCCGGCCGCGCCAGCTTCATCGCCGAGGAGTTCAGCGACCAGTTCGCCACTGAGCGCTTCAACCACATGGTCGTGGACGACAACACGGGCCGCGTGTACGTGGGCGCCGTCAATCGGCTATACCAGCTTAGCCCCGACCTCGAGCTCAAGATCTCCGTCAAGACGGGGCCCGAGGACGACGACCCCGAGTGCTCGCCGGCCAACGAGTGCCCGGCGTACGTGGTGAAGCGACTCACCAACAACGTCAACAAGGCACTGGTGATCGACAAGACGCATGGCACGCTGATCGCGTGCGGCTCGCTCTTCCAGGGGCGCTGCCAGGTGCGCAACCTGCACAATATCAGCTCCATCAACCTCGAGGTGGAGGAGGCTGTGGTGGCCAACAACGAGACAGCCTCGACGGTGGCGTTCATCGCGCCCGGGCCGCCGCGCCCGCCCGAGACGCACGTGCTGTACGTGGGCGTCACGTTCACGGGCGGCGCACGCGCGCCCTACCGCAACGAGGTGCCGGCCGTGTCGAGTCGCTCGCTCGACCTGGACCGCATGTTCTCTATCTCGGAGCTGGCCGTCACCACAGGCACGCGCATGTCCATCAACTCGCTGGCGCGCGAGCGCTACTTCATCAACTACGTGCACGGCTTCGGCTCCAACGGCTTCAGCTACTTCCTCACCACGCAGATGCGGCGTAGCACCGAGATGAGCCCGTACATTTCGAAGCTGGTGCGCGTGTGCCAGGATGATCCGCACTACTACTCCTACACGGAGATCCCGATCGACTGCATCGACGACAAGGGCACCAAGTACAACCTGGCGCAGGCGGCGCACGTGGCCACGGCCGGCTCTATCCTGGCCACGAAGCTGGGGATCACGGCGCAGGACGACGTGCTGTACGCCGTGTTCGCCGCCAGCGAGCGCCTGGAGGGCGATAACTCCGACAAGCCGACGCGCAACTCGGCCCTGTGTGTGTACTCACTGAAAGGACATCCGACGCAAGTTCACGCAGAATATCATGGAGTGTTACAAGGGCAACGCGGACCGGGGCCTCGAGTTCATCTCGCCCGGCAAGAAGTGCGTCTCCACGGTGAGTACTCGCTCGACCCGTGCCACCGATGTCGTCGGCGTAGTCGCTGCCGTAACTGCTGTCGGGGGTTTCCGTTGGTGAGTGTCATCATTGCCTGCTTGTTGCCAGTGATGTCATCACCTTCATGGGTGGAGCCAAGTCCTCAATGAGTGATGTGGGACAAATTAGGCCCTGGAGAGCCAGGCGCGGGACGAGAGACAAACGGCAGGGGGGGGGGGGGGGGCAGGGAGAGTCTGGCGGGCACTGGTGTTAACGTGAAATATGCCAAAAACGCTTACTTCACATGGACGAAAGTGGTCGACATTGTTTCAGTGGATGAAATCTACCAATTTATGACAAGTTTTTGTGTAGAAACATAAGAATGAGTGTAAAATATAATGACAAACAAACATTTTGGCTGGACGTTGGTCAGCAAACTGAACTGTAGGTGCGTCCGGTTTTTGTGGTCAGTCTCTCTCGGTTTAAGCTACAGCTTGCTGCCTTCGCGACCCATTTTGAGAAAGCTGACACTAGTAGCTACTCGACAGAATGCTGGCCACACCGGGGGGCCGGAAAGTGTTGAGGTTTTCATCTGGTCTGCTTACTGAGGTCTGGCATCAGTCATTAAAGCAAAGCTCTCAACGTGGGTGGATTGGTGGGCTGGGCACGAGAACGCGTGACCATCTGGACATGTTTGCACGCAAACCCACCCGGTACAACTGACCGTTTCCTCCTCCATTTTTTTGATTGTCATGAATTTCAAAACTCACCCGAAGAGGCCAAGTCTGGCGAAGTATAGCGCATTTTTGTATTGCATTGGAGTGGGAGACAGGAGTGAAGAGCGTATGATGGAGTGGGAGACAGCAGTGAAGAGTACATGATGTAAAGTTTCATCCTCCATCGAAATATGTTAATAGGCGCCATTTCTTTGCGACACCGGGCTGTTTACATTTGGATCTGGCTTCTACTTCTTCGCAGTTATATTTTTCTTCCACGTTTTATTAGTGTGATATTTTTCTCGAACTGCAACGTGGCAACCTCTGCAATCAACCTTTGTGCAAACGCTTTAAAAGTTAGCCAGCACAACTTGTGAAGCATTGGTCTTCCGCTTGGTATCTGCATGATGTGACGACCAGTGGCTGCACATTTATAGGCTTTTAGAATGTGTGACGGCCTGGCCGAGCCGGGCCGGCTCCCCAACTTTTTCAATGGTCATATAACAGGAACGCAGCCTGTGGCCTCCGTCGCAGCCAATTGTACCTCTGCGGAGGTGTTGCCGTTGCAGCACCCAAATAATTAGTGTATCATCAGCTGATTACTGCCAACGTCACCACTGACGTCATCGCAAGTACCGGGCTGGCTTGCGCGAGCGCCTGGACGCCCGGGGCCGTCCCCGAACGCAGGTGACAGGCACAGCCGCCACCCGCGGCGGGCGAGCACAGGCCGCGGCGGCGACGAGCACCGGCGCGCTCGCATCGCCTCCTCCCGGACCCGGTGCCGCCCGTCCCTTCCCCGCCACGTGCACGGGCCGGCCGCGAGCCCGCCTGATGACGCCATCGATTTCCGGCCGGGGGGCTGCCGGATCCGAGGACGCTGCTAATCTGACCGGGTGTAAATATGCTGCGAAGCGGGGCGCGCCTCCGACGGCTCGTGCCGCCGCCGGCCCGCTGCTGATGAATGGAATCGTCTGCCGCTGTCAGCCTTACGATCCGTTTAGCCGCCGCCTGACGCGAACGGACGGCGCCGGCGTCTACTTCTTCGGCGGGGCGCTGGCAGCGGCTCGCGGGCGCGGCGCTCCCGGCGCTCGTGGCGGCGCCCGCGGCCGTTGCGGCGCGGTGATCCAGTATCGCCGCACGCACAATGCGGTTACCATTGATTGCGCAGGTGTTAGGCCGAGACAAACACGGGCTGGCGGAGGGCTACCATTGATTACCGCTCCGCCGTGCGTGCCGGCCGCCGGGGCTGACTGAGCCCATTGTCCGCCGGCCGGCTGTACCGCGAGCCCCAATGACGGCGTGGGCAGTGCGCGGCCGACGCTGTCTGGCTGTGTCTGCCCGCTGTGTCGCGCTCAGCTGGCGGTGCCCGCGTCCTGCGCGCGTGCGCCTCTCTCGCGATATACATATCGTTTCCCACACCCGGCTCCCGGGCGTTTTTTTGTGCTCGCTGAAGATTGTGTTACCAGTCGCCATTATGCTACTGCACATCGCGATTGCGCCCGGCTGTGCTCCCCGGCCCGGATGTGTGTTCCGCGCCCATATTGTCTTCAATCCGGCCGCCCGGATGTTTTTTCCGCCGGCTTTGCCAGCGCTGAGGGCGGCGGGCTGCTTAAGATTCGCCGTCAGAGCGATGCGGTGACGCTTGCCTTTTTATCACCCTAAACGAGTTGTCGTCCCGCTGAAAGAGCCGCGAAATGCCTGATTAGAAGATGAGCGCTCTGCATAATAGAAGTTTATTTCGAACTTCGAAGTCGGCCTCAATGGGCGTCCTGGGAAGAGCGCACACTCGTTCGACGTCAGGCCAGCGATAAAGTCGGCGCCATATTGGCTCTGCTCTCCAGCGCGAGGGTTGGATTCGGTCGTCAGCGAGCCGCGAGCGTTGCAGCTGGATGGGTCGGCAGCGGCGCGGCCGGTGGCCAGTCCGACGTTCTCAGAACTGTCAGTGTTGGCGAGGACGTTGACATATTGAGCCACCCGGCTCTGTGGGCCGGTCAAGCCGCGCATGAGTCCTTAACGCGGAGTACACCTCAGACCTGAGCCGGCGGGCGTTGAGGACAAGGGAAGCTGACGGGGCGGGCTCAGCCCACCCCGTGTCTCCCAGTTCCTGGCTGTGTCGTCGTCCTGCGCGCACCTTGTCCTACCCCCCCCCCCCCCCCGATCTCCGGAGCGGGCGGTCACGGCCGGTCGCCGCTCCCAGTGGGCGCTGCGCCGCGCTCGCCACGCGCGCCGCCCGGCGCTAAGCCCACGTCGGCGTTTCTCGGACCGATTAGCTGCAAGTTTTTGTAATGACGTCGAGTTCGGTGCTCGCCGCTGCGCCTCCCAACGCCAGGGCGTCGACTCAGCAGTCGGCGCGGCCACCGTCGAGCCGTACCGTGCCGAAAATGGGGAAATGGCGGCGCGCGGACGGGCGATTATTAGAGGCGGAGCGTGCCGAGCCGTCGGCTGCAGCGTTTACCTCCGGCTTTGGCGGCATGCCCTGGCCGCTCGAGCTGTGCCATTCGGCTGCTCGCTCGCCGCTCCCACCGCAAGCAGCGTCGACGAGCCCGGCTCGAGCGATGCGGCCGCTCACTCGGCTTGGTGACGCTCGTCCACGACCCACCGGCCGCCGCCGCCGTCCGTGCGTCCTCTCCAGCCGGAGCCGGCTGCGGCTCCAGCTCTCCCGCTCAGCCCGCAGCTCGGCTCTGGGCCGGCGTGCCGGCGCTCTTTGTGCGGCGGCCGCCGAGCGTCTGTCGGCGCCCATTGGCCCCAACGCCAGCTATGATCCGTCGGCGGGCACTGCACAAAGCGGCGCCACCGGGGCAACGAGGCGCCGCGCGACCGGTGACCTCGCAGTGGGCCGCCGCTTGCGTGAGGCGGCGGAGCCGGCGGCCGCTGTCTGACGAGATGGTGCACCTGATCATGCACCACTGTTACTTTCTTCGGCACGCTGCAGTTCTGGAGGCTGGGCGGCACCGCCATAAATCCGTTAGCGGCGATTTCATCATTTTATGAGCCCTTAGCGCTTTTTGTTGGATGACAGAGTTCCCTGTGCATTTTAGGACCATTTTTACGTCATCACCTACGCAAGCCCTGAATACTAATGCATATTGGTGCCGGCTCTTTTGTGACCCGAATGGTTTCTGCTTCAGTCGCCAGAGGAGCGTAATCACATCAACGCTAACCAGATATCGAATCACTTGATTGAGTCATCAGCCTGCCCGAGACGGTTGTTAGGGGAGCCCTTTCAAGTCGCGCACACCACCCGCTTTGATTCCACTTCCGCGGGGCAAAAGTAGATTGCTAATCAGCTCCAGGCGCTTTTATTCAGGCCTCTTATCCCCTCTCCTATTTCCAATTTCGATTTCGTTAGCGGTATGGGCCGGCCGCCGGTGCCCGTCACGCGCCCGCGGCCTGACAGACTGACAGACAGACGGAAGGCCGGACGGCGGCGGTTCGGGTCGGCCGCTGCCGGTCCGGGCGATGGTATCGGCCAGACCGGCGGCCGCGGGACATCACTGCGCCGCTGTTCGTCATTCCCGTCGCACGGCTCGTTACACCGAGGACGGGCGTGCCTTCTCGTCGGCCAGCCGCGCGAGCCGAGCTCATCCCGCGGTCTCGGGGGCGCGTCTCAGCGGCCAAGGTCTCGGACACCGGTCTCGGACACCGGTCTGGTCACTGGTCAGGACAACGGTGTGGACACGGGTCTGGACACGGGTCTGGTCACCGTCAGGACACCGGTCAGGACACCAGTCTGGACCCCGGTCCAGGACACTACTCAGGACACCGCTCAGGACACCGGTCTGGATACCTGCGTCAGACGGCGGTCACCGAACACTGCTGCCGGGACATCTCGGTCCTATACACATCTCAGGGAAGCACCAGTTCTGGCACGTGGGCTGCCGGTCTCACGCACCGGCTTCGGACACGCCCATCTCGGCCTTGTTCTCAGACACTTGTCCAATGCGCCGGCGTTAGACACTCGTCTGTGACACGTCCGCGGTGAAGCTGGCGCCGGCCGCCCTGAGGCGGCGATGCCCGACTTTTTCCCGGTTTACACTTTGGGCAACCTCTCGGGACGAGTGTGTCT